AGCAGGCAGTGGGTTGTGTTGGTGTATTTACTCCTGTTTCTTTAGGTGTGGGGATGCTGAAATTACAGAGATGAGAAGCTAATTGTCTGCAATGATAAAAACAAAACTGTTCACTTTGTCAACCTTGTGATAACTCGATTTGCCTTCATTTTCTTGAAAAATACCTTGGATTTAAGATCATGGACGATTTTAGCTCTTAACCTACCTCCCAACTGGCTCTTTTCTGGGAGTCTGGCGAGACTGTAGTTTTCTGTTGTCTGAATGAGGCCAAAGGTCTGAGAAGTCAGAAGTGGGTGTACTGCCCTGTTAGACCTGTGTGCACAGGCATGGAGGGGCAGTGTCTGTCAGTGTTAATCAGTCTGATAAAAGGGCCAGCTGGTCCCTCCCATCAGCGCCGAGAAGAGAGAGGACTGAAATACTGCACTGATGGATCTGTTTCACTGAGTGAGTTAAGGGCAAAAGCAGCTTAAACGCTGCTGGGAGAAGGAAGCCGGTTTGGAGTAACATGTCAGCCCTGCCAAAATGGGTTTGTGTAAAGCTGAGCTGAGGTGGTGGAGAAATCACTTTGGAAAACTTCAGTAGGCAGCATTTAGCTCCTGCCACGTCCAAGTTTGCCAGGGAAAGGAGGGATGTGCCAAACGAAGCTCAGAACCAAAGTGGAGTCTAGAGCTTGTCACTTCGTGTTTTGGGCATGAACCCACTTCTAGTTGCTCTCCAGTTCCACAGGCAGCCACTTCTCCATGCTGGGGATTGGAGATATTGTGATGCCAGGGCTCCTGCTCTGCTTCGTCCTGCGTTACGACAACTACAAAAAACAAGCCAACAGTGACTCCTGCGGTGCCCCAGGACCAGGGAACATCTCTGGGCGGATGCAGAAGGTCTCTTACTTTCACTGCACACTTATTGGCTATTTTGTAGGTGAGTAATTAGTGTGATATGGAGAGCTGCCCAGTGGGCAGATGTGGGATTATTGTAGGAGGGTTAAAAGAAGATGAAAGCAAGTGTAAAGAGGCTTTAAGAGGATGCTTGGTTATGTTCTTTTTTAATCCTCCTCTGTTTGGATTTATTGGCATGGTCTAGGGAGAAAAACCCTTCTGCAATCTTCCATTTAAGATTTTTTTTGTTGTTGTTGTATTTTATTTGGAGGATGAAACAGATTATCAGTGTGTTTTTGTTAGCACTTACTCTTTGCTTCACTAGATAGTTTCGTAGCTCATACCTGGGTTATGGAAAAAATATGGGATTTTCCAGATTAATTATGCTGTGCAAAAGTACATACTACATCTAGGTAATTCATCTAAATAATTTCTGCATTTTTGTATTCTGCTGTTAATGATCTCTTCGTTAGATTTTATACATTGTAATACATACAGAAAATCATCAGTAGTCACAAGTGGAATGCTGGTTATAATTTGCTGCAGCCACCCCTCTGCTCTCTAACATAAAATAGGCTTTTCCCTCAGGTCAGGACATGTGTGTGCATATCCTGACCTCCTGCAGCCCTTCTGAGGATGAAAAGGAAAGATTCATTTCCTCACCCATCGTTCCTGTGGTGTTCCCTTTGGGTGGGTGTCCAGGAATGTCATTCCCGGTGTGTGCAGCCCCTCCTCAGAGCCCCCCCTGCTCACACTGACGGTCTCCAGAGGTGCCAGCCCTGCAGCAGCTCTTCAGCGTGGTGCAATCAGCTTCCCCCTTCACCTTCTGCTGCGTTTGGGTTGAGTTATTCTTGGCTTAGTCCTGAGACTCAAACCCGGAGCCAGTGGCCCCACGCAGCCTGATACTCAAACAGAATGATTTTTCTCCGCTTGGTTTGTTTCAGTTGCGTTCAGGAAGAGCAGAGCAGAGAGAAGTGACTTTTCCCCACCTTTTTAAAATGGTGGGGAAGGAAGCTCTGGTGGATGAAGTGCTGAGAACATCCACGTGCAACCCGGAGATATTTATAGTCCCTTTCTTCTCTTGCAGGTCTATTGACTGCAACAGTAGCTTCTCGTATTCACCGGGCAGCCCAGCCTGCCCTGCTCTATTTGGTACCGTTCACTTTATTGCCGCTCCTCACCATGGCCTATTTAAAGGTAAGGGGGGATGGACGTGGGCAGCAGGAAGCCCTGGGCCAGCTGGCAGCAGGGGCAGTGTCCTTGCAGTGGCAGCAGCGCTCAGGAGGATGATGAGTGTCCCTGAGTGCTCTGGCCCAGAGCTGAGGGACCACTGCTCATCATTTCTGACTGAGGGAGGAGTTCCTAAAATAGAAAATAATTTATGTACATGAAGTATTGGTAATTACAAACTAACTAAATTATGAATATTAAATGCTGTTTTAATTAAATAAATGAATTTGTCCTTGTCCAGCTGGTCATGAAATACCACATGGACAAAGGCTGAGCAGCGATCAGAGAGGCACAGCCTTGTTTGCCTGTTCCCAGTCACCTGCTCTGAACAGAAATGTGAGAGTGTACCATTCCTACTGAAACACACATCTGGCACTCTGCAGAGCAGAACATGAGAAAGGACAGGATTTTCCACCTGCATAAATATTTCCTTCCCATCAGAAACCCCTTTTGGGTAGATCTGCTGCCAAAATAAGTTGTTCTGGCCTGACAGGATTTATTTTAACTTTGTTGTAATTTGCAAGACAGGTACAGAATAGGTTTGCTCTAAGATATGCTTGCAATCCTGTGTGCATTTTAAAATGTGATTCTAAGCAGAGTTCAGAGTTTCTGAGGGCGTGGTCTTTGTGCTGTTTCCCTGCCCAGGGCGATCTACGTCGCATGTGGTCTGAGCCTTTCCACTCCAAGTCCAGCAGCTCCCGTTTCCTGGAAGTATGATGGAACGGACAGGAAGTGAACCTGAACTTCTGCCTTGGTCCTTTTCACTTTAACTTGTGGCTTTGTCGTCTCCTAAAGCTGGACTGGCTGGTACTCAGGAAGGTACCAATGACGGGACTCGTTTGAAAGGACTTTGTATTAAGGGAGGGAAAGGAACAAAAGCGAAGATCCTGGAGCTCCGCCTGACTCCGGATCTCCTGCAGATGTGGAATTGGGGACCCTTTGTGCAACTGCAGCCACTTTCCTCTTTTCCTCACTCGGATGGATTAGTACCAGACTATTACCTTGGTGAGAGGGGAAGAGACAGACTCGAAACTGAAAACGGCTTGAAGTCGTTCAAAAACTTGTGAACACTAAACGCAAAAACGGTTAAGAAACTGAAGCTTCTTCAGAGAACCCTCGTGGACATTGGGACCAGTCTCCTGCGGGACTTCGGTTTTGAAAAGAACTGAGACAGAAGGTCTTCTGTCACAATATTGGGGTTTTTTTGATTTATTAAATATTTCCTGTGGTGTGAGGTTACTTATTAAATCCACAGACATGGAGTGACTTCTTGCAGTATACATATAAAAATTTGTTGTAACAAGTTACATTTCCACCCAGATGTCATGTTGCAGTGAAAAAGGGCACGATTTTTATACATATATATATACACACATATAGATATATATATGAATAAATAAAAAGGAAAACCTGCTAAGATCATGCTGTGTAGCAGACAGGGGCTTGCTGTAATTTTTAGCATGTAGCACAGTTACTCTGGCTTTATGTATATGGATCTACAATGAGCTGCTGTTTTTTTCCCCCTCCTACAACTGAACCTGCAGTTTAAAACCAAGTGTAGTATTTGTACTGGTTGTACCATGGACTTTAGGGGATATTTGGTTTGATCAATGTAGCAAACTAGGGAAGAAAAAAGTTCAAACCCAGCCCTGTGTGTCTGAGGGGGGAGGAGGTGGGGGTGTCTTTTTTTCTTTTTTTTTTCCTCCTTTTTTTAATTTTCTTTTTTTTACAAACAGCTCCCTTGCAGGTTTTTAGTAGTTCCTTCTTGACCCAGTGCATGTATTATAGCAGCAATTGTCTTTGTGCTTTCTGATCATAGTAATGTATCACTTGTAAATACATTTTTTTCTATTTTCTATTTTTTTGTATTTTTTGCATTTTGTTTCATTAGTGTGCTGTATCTTTCCATGCCCCTGCCCCTTAAAGAAAACAAGAAAAAAAAAAAAAGGAAAAAAGAAAAACTGTCCTTTACTGTTGTGACTGGTTGGAGTTTTGTGTGTTGACTGCTTTGTACCTGTAGCTTGTTAAAATGTGGATTTTATTCTTTTTTCTTTAAACCAGCAGTTCCAGTTGTTATTTTATTGACTGAAGGGCTTTCCTGAGGTAACTAAACTTTTTTCCTTTAAAGCACCGTGCCAAGCTGGGTTTGGGGAGCTCTCCCCAAAAGCTCGTAGCTCGTTGACAGAAGGTGGGAATTGTTGGTGGGTGGGGAAGAAGGAATGTTCAAGGATGGCTCTGCCCGAGCAGGGACAGGAGGCTGGGTCTGGTTTTGTTCTGGTAGGTGAGGAGGGTTTGGTGAAACACCTGCTGGGGGAAACAGCAGGAGCATACTGGGCATGGCAGGAAATTGCATCCAGCCAGAGTGTGCACTGTCATTAGTTAATGGCACTAATTAACGCCCTCCTCTGTTCTCAGGCAGGTCTGGCACTGCTGGCAGAGGAGCTGATGGGGCTGATGCCTCTGAGCTGGCTGGGACACACCTCCAAGACAGCTGGAACATCCCAGGAAACAGTAAGAAGCAGCTGAGCCATCCAGGGAGGCCCTGAGATTTAGCAGGTGTGGGTGGGTGTGTCAGGGGAGATGCTGTGACTTTATTTTTTATCGATTAAATAATTTATTTATTATCACACCACCACACCACCCTCAGTTCTCTCTCTCTTAGCTGAAAACGCTCCCTCCAGCATGTACCTGCAATGCTCATTGTCAGCTACCTGTCACTTTTAGATGAAATAATTTTTGACTCAAAACCTGTTTTTTCTGTCCATAGCAGGTCTTAGATCCCAGACTTGCTAGGGACAACAGAAAGGTATGAGTTTTCAGCTACACACCTGAAACCAAAGGTGAATAAAATATTCAGGAGGGTATTCAGAGAAAAAAAGACACTTTTTTGGTGGCTTTTTTTTGCCCAGAGGTTCCAGGCAGTGGAATAACAACTTCAGATCCACATTGCTGCTGCTTTATCTGCCCAGCCCTTGCACCCACCTGACAGTCATGCACAGCTCAGGTGCCAGCAGCTTCACAGCAGTTCCCTCCAGCCTTTGCAATTAAAATACAAGGTCTTCCTTTGTCTTGCAGTGGCATTTTTAGGCCCTGCCTGGAGAGCATCCCTAGGAACAATCTCTATGCTTAGAAGCATTCTGGGAAAAGCCCTAGAAATGCTAATGGATAAATGTTAATTGATAAACGCTTAAGGACAATTAATTCAGCTTTCCAGAAAACCCCTGGCCTTCCTTGTAGAGCTGCATTGCCCTCCTGCCCCAGGAGGGCAGAGTGTTGTAGCTGAGCCCTGTCTCTGCCCCACAGGTTCCGCTGGCACTGCCCAGGAGGGCACATGCTGCACTGACAGGTGTCTGCTGCCCCCTCAGCTGGCAGCAAGAGGGTTTTGGTGCTTTGCAGGGGTTCTCTGAAGTGTAAGTGGCCTAAGGAAAAGCGCTTTCCCAGGGCTCTGAGTTCCACCTGCAAAGCTTTGTCCCACAGCTCTCTTGCCCAAACCCACCTCAGCATTGAGGGTGATCACAGATGGATCCTACCTGGCTCTGGGCCCTCCCTGCACAGATGGACCTTCTGTCCTTGGCTCCCCAGCCTCTGCCTGAGGATCAAACCATTCAGGCTGCTTTGGGCCCTCTGGGTTTGGGAGCCCACACAGGCCCTGGGTTCCTGTCCCTGTGGGGTCTGGAATGGTTGCTGATGCTGCCATCATTTAACAGTCTGTTGAACTCCTTAACAAACTGTTTGACACAAAGTCCTGCAGGTGAAATGGCCAAACTACCTGCCCTTTATTCTGAGAAGTTGTCAGAATTTTCTTGATAATTTTTTGACTCACTCAAGCTTTCTTACAGGAATGCAAAATGAGGCTGGCAAAAAACTGATAGACTGGAGTGTATTTATAGCAATTGTCAGAATATGGACCAGAATTGTACTGTACAAATCTGCTGACAGTCTGGAATCAGTTCTCTACTGTGTCTTTGGGAATAGTCAGCTTAGAAATGGCACTGTCTGTATGCTGAAGCTTCCCTAAGGTCACACTTAACCTTGCAAACATGAGGAGTTCCGAAACGACCTGGGGTGTGTGGCCAGTCTGTGTGGGCAAAGTGCACGCAGGTCCCCCTGTGTCGGTGTTGGCCTGTTGGGGCACCCAGGGAAGTGGCCACAGCCTGACCCAGGCAGTGTGAGGGCACAGGGGAGCCTGGGAGCTCAGTGTGTTCTGTGAGAAGGGGAAGCACTCACTGAGGGAATGAGGAAACACATACTGAGGGCTGGGTGGCTTCCCCAGTTCTGAATGACCTCCCTGGAGGGGGAAGTGCAGGAAAGGCTCCCAAGTGGTTTTTTTTCTATACAAGTAGTGAGTGAGTAGCATTTGAAATTAATTTTTTAAGTAAATGGTAATCCATTCCATTTTTCAGTCAAGTTACAGCACTGTCACATTTTCTTACCTCTATTCCATGTCTTCTTCCTGTTATTCTTACAGGCACTTGGGTTTTTTACTTCAGGCTGTCTTTCAGATTTGGTGTTTTCCATGCTTTCCAACATAACCTGAATGTGTGGTCTGTGTTGAGGGCTCTCAACTTGGGCAAAACAGAGTTTTAATTTAAAATCAATCTGATCTTTTTTTCTCATAGCTAACACTGTCAGAAGAGACTGGTGGAGGAGCCTGTTGTGCTGTGAAAGCAGTACTGCAGCACATTCAGCTGAGTCCTGTAAAACTTGATTGCTTAAACATGGAAGGCTGAAATGGCACTTCGGGGTTGGTTTGGAATTGTGTGAAGAAATGGGAGTGATGATCCCTGTCCTGCTGTGCTGCAAGGTAGATGCTTCCAAGGGGAGCCAGATTCCAGGCAGCTCGTCATTCCTGCTGAGGGATGGGACAGAAAGGATGTGTCTCATGTCTGTGCTCCCCAGGAGGAGTTAAGTATTTCTCACCTGTGTGTATTTAATTGTAACAGCCCAGAACGGCTCTTCTCTGCCTTTAGTCTGGTGGGAACTCACATGAAGAATCTGTGAGCTTTATATGTGATATAAAATCTATCAATCCAGTGGTCCTCTTTACTGTAACTGTTTCCTCAGAAAGGATTCAGTTCGGGCTCCCCCCGTTTCATCCCCAGCAATCTGCCTCGTAACCAGTTTCATGTACACTTAAGAGCATTGGGGGGCAAAACCCACAGTCCTTGAAAAGTGTTGCTTTTGTCCTTGAGAAGTGGCTTATCTCCTTCTTCACTCGTTTCTAGTTTATGTATGACCTGATTTTCCCATCTGGGCGAGTTTGTAAAGTGATAAAAAGTTGTGGCTTCCCTGCAAAGAGCCCCTTCTCCCCCAGGAGAGCCTGGCCCTGCCCACACCTGGCTGGGTAAGAGCTGCTCATTTAATGCTGCAGAACTCGTTTGTGTTTTGCACGTTCAGCACTTCCTTTGAGCAGCCCTGAGGAGCAGAGGCAGGGGTAGCACAGAGTTCTCTCAGCCAGCAGCAGTGAGGAGGAGAAAGCTTGTAGTATCCTGCTCTGAGAAAAGCCATGGCTTTGCTCGGGGCCCTTTTGTGTAAGTGTGCTGTTTACCCCAGAGCGCTGCTGGGGCACTGCAGTGTCACTGAGCTCTCTGGACCTGTGGCAGCAGGGAGGCTGTTGCACCCAGGCATTCCCAAAAGCAGGTTCTGCTCACAGGCACAGCAGCAGGGCTCTCCCAAGAACAGGCCATTACTTGATTCTCTGCCCACAGGGGATTTGGTCTGTTGGGGTTGTAGGTTTTCAGGTGTTGTGTGTCAGCTGAGGTGTCACTGCCACCATGGGGTGTGTACAGGGGGGGTCTTTGCTCGGCTCTGGAGAGGAGCTGCAGCCAATTAGAGCTGGTAATGAGGGAGGCAAGTGCTGACAGCCAGCAAGGGGGATCTGAGAGAAGCAGCTGGATGAGAGGGGAACAGAGCAGCAGGGGGGGCAGGAGTGACTGACTGCACTGGGTCACCGGGATTCCACTGGAGCTCGGCACATGAGGTCAGTGCAGATGAGCATGGAGCAGAACTCTGAATTCTTAAAGTCCTCACATCCCTGCAGCTCCTGTTCTGAGTGGCTGCAAGGAGAAATTAGCACAAAGTATCACACTTCCTCCCACACAGTCATGGAAGTGAGCCTTCAGCAATCGAAATGGTCATACAGGCTGAAATAAAGCTACAAAAGCATCTCTCTCCTACAAGCTGTCCCCACTGTACAACAGAATCACAGTCACAGTTATGGGGATGGTTTTCCAGTAGGACTGTTCCTGTTGAATGCACTGCCTGGCTCTGTTTCTGTCAATCCTTATGTTCGTGAGAGCAGCAGCAGCTCAGCACCTGAGGGCCTTGCCCCAACACGCTGTTGCCCTCCAGCGCCCTGCAGAGGGATGACTGACATCACAGAGCTGGTCTCACTGGTACACACAGGCCCTGCTGGCTTCTGCTTCTGTGTCTTGTGACTGGAAGAAAAGGATCTAAATTAACTCACATTTGCATTAAAGAAAAAGGGGGAGGGACTGGTGGTCCTTTTGAAGTCTGGTTTTATTTGTCTTCTGTGCTCTCTCACTTATGGCAGAATCCTGCTCTTCTTCTCTCCACACAAGTCTAAATGAATGGCACCACAGGAAAAGAACCATTTACCTCTAGTGTACTCCTCTGGACAAGGGGCTGGACCGGACAGTCCAGGCTGTGGTCTTAATCCTCTCCTTTTCCTGAGTTTAGAGCTTTTACTATGGCTGGTAAGTCTTCTAAAAGGCAATGTCTTGACAAAGATCACTGATTGAGGACATGTGCTACTTCTAAAGTTTCCTGGTAAGGTTTGTGTGTCATCTGTTTTCCTCCTTGTTGCCCAAAACACGTAGGGATTAAAGGCTGTTACTGCCCCTTTATGCATTTCCTTTCCTATCCATAGTGTAGAAGCAGATTTGGGAGCAGGGGTTTCTTTGGCCTTTTTTTTTTTTTTAACAAAAAAAGTCCTAGGCACTGCAGCTTTTTTTGCCCTTTGCTTCTACCCTGCATCCCAGAGCAGCAGAGTGAGGAGGTGCTGGGCTCTGCTGGCCAGTTCAAGGGATTCTTTCTGATCTGTGTTTTCACATCTCCACAGAGAGTAACCACAGCCTGTGCTCAGACTCTCTGTGCATACGTAATTCCTGCATGTCCTGTCTGGATCCTCTCCTGCTGGAAGAGGGAAGAAGTGCCCTGCTGCAGGATTACCTACTCCACACAGCCTGTGTCCATTTAGGAGCTCACAAACAGCTGCATCCCACGCATGAAATTAAAGGCACTGTGACCTTCAGCTTGGATTGGGGTGAAGGGGTCACAGCTCTCAGCACCTCTAACTCTGGCACCGTTTAGCCAGTGCCTGGTAGTGACAAATCTTCCAAAACAGGCAGTGGCTGGGAAGTGCACAGGGAGAGCTGCTGACTCCTCTGAACAGCAAAGCCATTTTGGCACTACCAAACCCATCCAACGCTCCAGGAAAAGCCCCACACTGCCCTACCAGCACAGGCTGTCTCCTCCCTCCTGCACTCACAGCTTACAAACCTCAGTCCAGCCTGTGTGCCATCCTGTGTCCAAGGAAGAGTCAGTACATTGTACACTGAGGGTCAGTTCCTCGTTGGTGAGGAAAACCTCCATCACTGGCCTCATTCAAGAGGGTCAAATGGATCAGTGTTGAGCACCGTGACGAGGCCCTTGGGCAGAGTGTGGCTATCCCCGCCGCCTCAGCCTCGGTAGGCCTTGAGCAGCTGTCCTGCGATCACCAGTCTCTGGATCTCGCTGGTCCCCTCGTAGATCTCGGTGATCCGGGCGTCCCGGTAGTGCCGCTCCGCCGGCATCTCCGTCACGTAGCCCATCCCACCCAGGATCTGGATGGCCTGAAACACGGGCAGCAAGTTAGACAGGAAGCAGGGTCAAGGAATTTGTTGACTACAGAACACAAGCTGAGCCCACTGCAGGTGTGACTGGGAGGGGTGGCACCCAGGGGGGTGACTGCAATCAGAGGAATAAACAGCAATACTGACGTCCCAGACAGAGAATTAATTGCTTCAGAGGTATCTGTTAGTGATCCATGTTCAGCTAAGATGCTTTTATTAAGGAAGGGGACACTAGAGACACACAGGGTCTGCTCCAGGTGTAGTGATGCTGACTGGTGCCCCAGTGCTCTCCCACACTGCTGATCCTGCTCAAAACTGCCACTGCCCTGGACAGCAGCAGGCACAGATCACTTTAGTAATACAGGTGCCACAGGCCAGTATAAATCCCTGCTCCTATCCTACTCCCCCTCAACCCAGGAAGAAGGCTTCAGCTTCAGCCACAGGGGTTGAGCAGTTGGTTGGCTGGTTTGTTTAAAAAATAAATAAATTCCATCCCACCTTCCCAAAGCACTTGCATTGTGTGACAACCAAAAGTCCCTTTCCACGAGGTGTACATCAGAGGTGTCAGTGGAAGCAGTTACCTGATGAGCGATGGCCGTTGCAGCTTCTGATGCAGCCAGTTTGGCCATCGCCGCTTCCTTTGGGGAAGGAAAACATCACTGAAGATGCAGATGTGGCAGAAAGGAACCCCTCACCTGCTTGAACGCTCCCAGCCCAGCTGTGCAGAGAGACAGGCCTGACGCTGGTGCCAGCTGGGAGCAGCCACCCCTCTCTCCTCAGCTCCAAGCAGCACTGAGTGCAGTGACCTGCTCAGAGCGCGGCTCCCTGGCCCTGAGCCTGTGCCTGCTGGCACTGCTGGGCAAATGCAGGGCTGGCAATACCTTAGTGAAGGGCTTCCCGTTGTCCTTCAGCATAGCAGCTCTCCAGGTCAGCAGGCGGGCGCCCTCCAAGGCCACGGCCATGTCTGCCAGCTTGAACTGCAACGACAAACGCTGCCTTTGGCCCAGGGCCTTTGCTGCACAAGGACACACCGCTGAATTCTCTGGGGCCACTGGGAAAGGAGTCTCCATCCAACCAACCAGTTGTAACAGTGGAAATGGAAATTATTACCCTGTTTATCCCAGGCAGTGCAAAGTGCACTGAGTGCCTGACACCACGCCTCAGAGCACACATGGACTTTCCACCAGCCCCAGCACTGTGAGGAGCTGCCCCGTGTGCCCAGCTCGTACCTGCACTGCCTGGAGCTTTGTGATGGGTGACCCAAAGGCCATTCTCTTCTCAGCATAATCCACAGCACAGTCCAGAGCTGCCTGTGCTATTCCAAGAGCCTGTGAAGCAATTCCAATCCTTCCTCCATCCAGAGTTTGCTGAGAAAGACACAAAACACGTATGTTAAGTCAAGTCATACTTTATCAAAAATAGATTCACATTTCTGTTGCTGGGAAGCTGCTGTAGCCTCAGAACCCTCTGGTCAGACACCTTCTTGATTCAGAATATTCCCAGTTATGTAGGAATAGCTATAACAAGGACTGGGCACTGTGGAGAGAAGGGAAGCAGAATGCAGAGGTGTTGGTTCTTATTAGCTGGGGGGAAGGGGGGGGAAGCCCAGTGCAGAATAAGGGAAACAGCACAACAAGAAGCATCTGCTCTGGATGGAGCTGGAAAGAACCCTTCAGCCAGACCCCTGGCTCACTATGCAGCTCAGTTTACTTTAACTGAAAAATACTGGAAATCTGGTAAATTTTCCTCCTTTGCCCTCATCATTAGGACACACACAGAGGCATTTTTTAAACTAAGAAGTGAATCCAGTCAGTAACCTGACTTAGCTCAAACACCAGCCCATCAGGCTTTTAACTGGTGCCCTGACTCACTGTGCACAGGAAGAAACTGCAGCACAGGGAGAAAAGGCTTAATCTCCTCAGTCCAGGGCTGAGGGTCTTCAGAAGTGATTGGTGACTGGTAGGTTCTTTTAGTTTAAGACATAAAGGAATGGGCTGTGCTCCAGGGAGCTTGGCCATTTCAAAACACAACAAAGGGTGTTTTGCCCCTCCAGAGAGAGCAGTGACCACTTCCAAGGGGCAGTGCCTCACTGCAGGGAACACACTGTTCCCAGCTGCCTGGCTCCTCAGAAGTCACACACATGCCATAACTCAGCTGTCATCCACCTTGAGACACTATCCAGAGGTTGCCCTGGGCCTCCAGGACAACTTCCCTCTGCCACAGTATTTAGGCAAAATACCACGTTTTTTCTTTATCTGTGGGTACAAATTGGAGGAATAGAGGGCTGGGAAAGGAGAACACTCAGAACGCACCACTCCTGCTGACAGAACTTCAGGGGTATAAGCATTGCTTTAGCTGAGAACTGCCACAATAAAAGTGCTGCCAAGGCTCTGTGGTAA